GGGAGACACCAACCCTAAAATCTCAAATGGAAAGGGGGGTCGAGTGATACCTTATTTTAAAGGTCTTTCAATTCCCTTTATAATGATGTAGAACACATGAGCTTCAGTTCAGTAGTTTTGAAGATTTATTGATTTAAAGCTTCAAGTAGACTTTAATAGGTACATCAGATTAGTTTGTACTACTTTCAGAAAAAAATTGACTAAAAGAATTTACTTAACAAGTAAATGCTTTTCTTCACTACGCCCATGGTTTGTTTATCATTTTGTTGTTAAAAATATCTATTGTAGCGTTTTTTTGTGGCAAAAAAGTTATTTCTTGAAGAAAGGTAAGGAAATATCTGGTACTTATTTTAAATAGAAATTTAGTTTGCGATTGATTTGACCAAACTTTGTTGCTAAAATAACTTGTAACGCTTTATTACATAAATTAACCAAGGTATATTCCACAGCAGAAAGAGTTGAACTTATCGAAACATTTTTCGGAAATAATCAGTGCGCTAATAGAACAGCAGAAATATTTAATGAGTGACATGAGAACAGTAACGTGCATCGAAAATATGTTTTAGAACTTGTTGCTAAATTTCGGGAATCTGGGTCAGTCGCCAATAAAAAACGCAACATTGAAAATCCCATAAGCAACGAAGCAATAGAAGTAGGGGTTTTAGGGCAAGTTTATGTAGATCCTACGTTAAAAACCCGCAAATTGGAGACTGTGTGTGGTGTTAGTCGACGTACTGTCCAACGGATTCTAAAGGCCCATAGTTTTCATTCGTATAAAATTCACCTGGTACAAGAACTTAATGAAGACGATTTTGACGATTACAATTTTGTGAAGATATGACTGAACGAATTATAAACGATGAACATGTTCTATTCAACACTTGATTTTCCGACGAATGTTCCTTTTTCTTAAATGGCATCATAACTACCGATATTGGTCCGATTCTAATCCCAGATTGTATCATGAGGTTCATACACAGCAGCCACAAAAATTAAATGTTTGGTCTGGTATTTTTGACGATCATTTAGTTGGTCCTTTTTTCTTACCTGTAAATTTGACCGGTGAAATGTATTTGGAATTACTGGAAGACGCCCTACATCCTGCATTAACAGTCATAATTGAAAATCAGAATGATCGGCGGTACATTGCGAATAGGTTGTTTCAACAGGATGGTGCCCCACCACATTACGCATTACATGTTCGACAATATTTAGATCAGACGTTTTCAGATCGATGGATTGGTAGAAAAGGTGCCATTGAATGGCCCCCAAGATCGCCAGATTTATCACCTTTGGATTTCTTTATGTGGGGTCATTTAAAAAGCAAAATCTATGCTACTCAGCCAACATCATTAGAAGACCTGCGATAAAGAATTGTGAATGAGTGCCTTCAAATTACTCCTCAAATATTGCAAAAAAAATTGATCAAAATCTTTATTATTCCATGGAGAGTCATGGTGGCCATTTTCAACATTTACTTGCCTAACGGGTCAGTTCATTCCTCATTCTTAAATTACTTTGCTGCCAAATGTGATGATCTCCACTAATGATGATGTATTAGTTTTATTTAAGCTTTAAATCAATAAATCTTCAAAACTACTGAACTGAAGTACATTAATTTTATATCATTATAAAAAGAATTGAAAGACCTTTAAAATAAGGTATCACTCGACCCCCTTTTCCATTTAAGATTTTGAGGGTGGTGTCACACCCCCGCTTAGGGGACTGCACGTGCTAATGTGATTTTTTGCCAAACTTGTGTTCCCCTCGAAAGCAAAATCGACGGGTCTGAGCGTTTTTCCAAAAAAAATACTGAGCTGCCAGTAAATGTGTCTGTTTCGTTTTCGATGCGCCACCCTGTATAATTGGCCTGGCACTAAAAAATTCCACTCACCTTCTTCCACGAAAGACTCATTCTTCTATTGTTAACTGTACAATATATTCATTTTGCAATCGTAAACGTTATCGGAAATTGAAAAGTTCCTTGACGAATTAATTACAGTCGGTACCGTGTTAATGTGCGACGGGCTACTTGCAAGTCTTTGGAATTTTAGACAATGTCTCAAAGCGGCAGTTCATCTCCTGCATTCTTTTTTTTGTTAGGGCAACGAAAACATAAAACAGTTAACCAGTAGGAGCATTTTCCAAACAACCCAAAAGTTACTAACCAACGAAATGAAACAACAGACGTGAGATTGTAAGATTTATTGACGCTTCGGCTACCTCTGGGCTTTTTTCAATTGTGCAAGATCCGTATTAGATCGACTTCCACCGATTTGACGGCCAGATGGAAAAAATTTACCAAATAAAATACGTTAAGAAGTTATATAGGGTGACTTCGAAGTTGAGTCATTTATTTTAACAGTGAGTAGATTTGATCAAAAGAAATGCTTTTTTCCTTTACCATTTTTCTGGTAAAATTAAAGTAACAAAGTTATAGCCCTTTGGAAGTTTGAGTACCGTCCTGTCTCAATAATAATATTATGTGCTCGTGTTTGGCGACAACGGATATAATTCGCCTTATCGGTTCATCGCATCGGAAACAAAAAAGCGAAAGAATTTGGAACGATGTTTTTACAATTATTTCATTCAGTTGTATACAGTAGTGGATAGTGGTGTCTGTTGCGTGGCTCAAACGAAATAAAAAATGGCAGATGTTTATGCGGATCGGTTTCCCAATCGAGTGCAACCAACCCCTCGTGCCTTTGTTAATGTAGTACAACGGGTTCGTGAATCATTTGACTTAAGACCTCACATATGGACGGCATGCCGGTGCTCCAAGATCTCACGATCAAATACAGGTCCGCACTGAAATACTTGTCGGGAGGATACTTTATAAAACAAGGTAAAATTCTTTTTTTTATTTTTACACACATATTTTGGTTTATCTTCCTTCTACAATCATTATCTGAAAATTAATGACTCAACTTCAAAGTATATGATGGGTTGTGTAATGAAAAGGGCAATATAATTTTGGCGCTGTTGTTTTCGTGTACTTTTGGCGTTGTTTTATCTTCTCGCAGCCCCAGATCAATTATGTTTCGTTTATGTATTGTTCACAGTTTGTATAGTGTCCCTCACTATGAAAGTACTGGAAACAAAGTTGGCCAGATAGACTAGCTAGCCATATCGTAAGCTTCTGAGGTAGGTGGCAGTGTGATAACCTCATTTTCGTCATTTCAGAATGAAATTAGAAGTGATCACGATATTTTATTATCTCGATGGAAATAATAAAGAAAAACAAAAAGAAAAAACTTTGGGCACATCCTTTGATCTTTCATATAATCCGAAACGATTTTTTTTAAAAGAGCGGAAATATAGATAAATATTATTGTTTTAAATGTCCGGCTATAAATTTACCCTCTAAATTTTTTATATGACATTGTAGAAGAAAAAGTGGTGTACAAAAGTTATAGGGTTTAATATGTTTTTCATGTAATATTTTTCTTGTATACCGGTTGTCTCAGAAAAGTGCTATCGAATAAAATGTTTAAATAGAACACTGTGTATATTTTCAGTACAAACGATAGTCCCGTTTTGTCTGATTCCTAATATCTGTATATTGTTTGTTAAACTTATTTTTATTACTCTGGTCAAAAACTTGGACTTTGTGTGTCATTTAATCATATATACTGCGGCTTTATACCGGATTTCATAGGCGGCTAGATGCAAACTGGTTCGAACTCTGATAGATATGGGTAAATGACACACAAACTTCAACTTTCCGGCCAAACTAATAAACATAAGTATGATAAACCACATATATTTTGAATCAGAAAAAAGAGAATATCATTTTTCCTGAAAATATACAGGGTGTCCGCAAAGTTGGGGTTTTCCTTTTCAGAAACAACTACCCTTGAAATAACAAAGGTAATGAGTAGTGAAACGAGGACGACCAAGTAAAAAAAAATAAAGGAAAAAGTACTCACTCTCCCGTTGACGAGAAGGGCTAAGTACGTCTCTGCCCGAAATCATACCGCTCCAACAGAAAATGAAATCAGCTGATGCTCTACCGAGCAGACGCAGGCAAACAAGGAAGGCAAAATGTTGCGTAAAAAGTCTAGGTATTGCATCCCGTCCAATCGATTTGGGAGAATAAATGGTCCAATGAGCATACCGTTCACCATGCCAGCCCAAACATTCACCGAAAATGTTTGTTGAAAATGTGCCCGACGGACAGCGTGCGGATTTTCTACTGACCAAATATGAGTGTTGCGAAAGTTATTCACCCCATTACGCGTGAAGGTAGATTCGTCTGTCACCAATATGCACTTCAAAAAGTCCGGATTATTGTCATGTTGATGCAACAACCACTCACAAAACCGCACTCTTGCTGGAAAATCGTCAGATTGAAGGGCTTGTACACGTTGGACGTGAAACGGATACAGCCGCTCTTCACGCAGCGTTTGCCACACTTCAGTTTTTGATACTTGCACTTCTCTAGCCACGTCTCTAGTGCTTGTTGAGGGATTCTCGTCTATGCGATTACCTCTAGACGCGTGACCGTAACCGTCGGTTGAAGGTTGCATACTGACCTGACACACTGACCCCGACCCAGTTCTGTCGTCGGGTTGAGCTAGTGTCCCAGCACCAGTCGGGGATGTCGCGGCTACAGGACGGTATTAAGATATTTTTGATGTTGCAGAGCCCTTTATCTCGGTTCCCTTAAGACATTGGTGTATATGGTACTAAGAAAAATTGCTTATGTTTTCAAGATCTACACGTCGTGTAAAGGAAAACCCCAACTTTGCGGACACCCTGTATAGGGTGTTCCTACCTTATTCCATATAACTTTTAAAAACTTTTTCTGACGGTCATAAAAAAATTCACGCAGCAGCCGACCAAAAAGGCTACCAATAACCGGAAAAGTTGGGCAGATAAAAATTTTAGCGGACAAGACCGAAAAAAAAAACAAGCATGTAATAGTAATAGCTTTATTGTCCAACAGTTACGCCATTTAATAATAACAAAGAAAAGGAAAAAATCAAACACAGTGATAAATAAATAACACATTAACTAATATGTTAATGGAACATATAAATATGTCACAATGACAGCTGATTGTATTCAGGTGTTTACACATAACGTGAATAGGAGATTTAACTAAAAGTTTGTTTCTGGCTCGCGCAGGTATGAATGTGATATAGTTACAGATACATTAAAATTTATTTGAGACAAAATTCAAGAACAATCGACAAAGTCATTTAATAGTTTAAAAAGAAATATAGCAGATGGTATATTCCTTCTCACCATGCTCAGAATTCTGTGGTACTGATTCCTTGCTGTGGGTAAATCTAAGATTCAACAAACAGAAACATGTGGGCAATGAAATACTTTTTAAGGCTGTTACACTTTTCCAGATCCACCAATGTTAGTGTGTTGTTGTATAAATGAGTAGTCATCTTTTTAGTGTAGCTGACAAACTTACACTTGCTTGTATTGAGATGTAATCTATTGCGTTCACACCAAATCCCAACGCAACTTAACTCATCCTTGCGTTCAAACAATCATGTATCTTGTTAATTGTAGAGTAGATTTTCATGTCATCTGCAAAACATAAACGTTCACAGCTCGAATTGTCGCACAGGTCATTAATAAGATAATTATTATAATTAAAGATAATAGTGGCCCCAAGTTAGATCCTTGAGGCATACCAGACGGAGTTAGGTATATAGCTTTTGTAAAGAAGCTGTTTGACAACGAAAACGATATCGGGTTTTCAGTATAACAAACAAAAAGATGTATAACAACACGACCAGCCGACTAGACTATCGAACATCTAGCAACCAACGTCCACGAAGATGATCACGGGAAGGAGAAAAATGAAATAAACAGCATGCACAAACAAACCGGTCAACGGCTTCTTTCGCATTTGCCATCACAACATACGCACGACACATGCAGCACAGACAGAGAAAGAGAAAAAGTATATTAACCTTCTAGCCTCTTTTATTGGTTGTGACGGGGACCACGGTGCTGTGGCACTAGACTGTGGTGTAGTAGAATGATGAACTTATGGCGCAGTACCTCCTACTGGTACCACTCTCGATACCATGCTAATTGTTTAGCCATAGCTAATTACATTTGAGGGGCTTGGGGCAATAAGGTACTGTTATCGATCCCTTCAAGCGTGACAATCCATTTATGGTTTTACTGCTTTCAAATTGTTTAAATAATAATAAAACGTCTTTATTGGGTGAAGTTTAGCATAAGCTAAACCCGTAAAATGTCTATCCACAAATAATACATAGTATACCAATAAAGTTTCAGCATAAAAATGAATTAATTGAGTAGAATAAATCAAGATTGATTAAAAGTATAACATTAAACATACTTATAGGATGATGTTAACAGGCGCGGATCCAGGGGAGGATCGTGGGGGTCATGACCCCCCCCCAGGCGAATTTAGTTCGATCACCAATTTTTAAAGTTCCAAATCTCTTAGATAAATCTGTAATGCACACATATTAAATGGATGCCGTGCTGGTATTTTCTACTAAACACTGGCAGCACTGCATCCGTCAACTTTGATTTAACTGTAGGCTCATAGATGATATCGCAAGACTGGTTGCCTATGCGGTCAGCTTGATGTAGGAAGAACTTCTTCGCGCGCGCTTAAGCTGTGAGCAAATTTGATAAAAAATACTTTTTGACGGAAAAGGGGCGGATTTAAGGAAAAGGGCCCGGTCGGCAATATGCACTGGGGGGGGCCCAGTGGCATGATCGGGGACAGACGGCAAATAGTGCGCACTATGACTGTTTTGCGAATAACATAAATTACTGCAATTATTTACAAATCATAGGAATAGATAATCATTAAAATTTTATGAGGGAGGAGGTAAGGTGGTCATATTTTTTCAGGTTAGAGATTAACGGGGCTCCTACAATCACGAGCACCATTTGCTGAGGTAACGGGGGGGTGAAAAGGAAACGAGGATGGGCTGGTCTTAGACGGTCGTCGGTGCTACTTTAAAAGAGGAAAGGATGACTGCGGGTGCATACCAAGGTAAATTTGTACATTCGTGTTCTAAGCTTAGTTCAACCTCGCTTATCGCTAAGATGGAACAAAGAATCAAACGCAAGAATCTTGAAAAGAAGCTCAAACCAAAAAAAGCTGATATGAAAATAACTAACAACAATTCGGATAGCAATTCCAAAGAAAATGAATAGTTTTATGGCGAATTCAATCAAAACCTGACATTAACTACATTGATTTGGACGTTGCTAAGCGAAAATTAGCAGTCTGGGCAATTGTCCTCTGAACATACTGTATGAATTTCATTCAAAAATATTGAAAAAAAGGGTGTCAGTTTCGAAGCAGCTGAACCCTTGTAAATGGCTTGAAACTCACTGCGTCGGAGCCGCCTTAATCTGCAACATGAATCTTGATTTTTTTGAAAGCGCTTGACAGATACTGAATCTAAAAACGGATGATAAACAATGTCGCAGTATGTAATTTTTGAAATAATTAATAACGCACAGCGAGTTACTTTAGTTTTGCAATCGAGAATTTGTTTGCTCAAGTATAATTGGCGAAGTACTAAAAAACTGTAATCCCATTTTCCCTTTCTATAAATTCTGAGATCATTCATCCCTAGGATCTGTGAGATGCATTTTAATCCGTTATACCTGGAATCGGCGCACCCTGTGTTCAGATTCAGAGACATCGCATTCCGCTTCCAGGTCAGATATTTCGTGCATTCTTTCAAGTCAAGTCATCGACGGCGGGTACGACCGATGACGGTACTACACACATAATGGGCTTTGCCGTGCTTTGGTCTTTCTTCTTTCTCGGCATCGGCGAACTCTCAGAGCGTGATATTAGTCATCCTCTTAGCTGTCTGTCTCTCTCTATCTGACGGTATGAATCGTAGGGATCAGTGGCGGAGGACAAAGGGACTTCCGTATTGGGGGAAAGTGCCAGTGGTCGCACAGTTTAGACAAAAGTGGAATACAACTAATGCTTTTGGAGGAAATCGTATCTGTTGTTAACTTTTCGCCGATAGGATTCTGACTAGTATGATGATCCAGTCAGCGGCCACTACATTTTGACCTCAAAATGTTAAAATAACATAATGAGATTAATTTATTTCGTAAAGTTTGAATGTCTAGTGCATATGTAACAAGAACAGTATTTACAATTGTAGGTCGCCTTTATGGCTTCTTTGATTTTCATAGACTTCTCTCTCCTTCAGAAAGGCTGGGGTATTCCTAGATTTATACGGTTCCGTGTCAGAGACAGCGCTCTCCTATTGTGAAGTTATGTTTTCTTTTTGAATCGTAATAAATTTCAGGCTGATATAACAGATGACATAAATCAAAGTTGAATTCAGGCATGAACGCTGGCGGTACTGTTGCGTCTTGTAGAACTTCAAATTTCGCTGTTTTTTCACTTGAAACTTAAAGAGCGTAGTCCGATAGATTATTTTAAATGAAAAAAGTGTGGATGAAGCACACTTGTCTAGAACAGTTTTTCCCAAAACACTGTATTTTTAGCAGTTATTTTTACCATGATTTCCACCGCCATCGGCCATATGACGTTGACGTCTGTGCAAATGTCATATATGAGAGGCGCTTGCCTGCGGTGTTGCCGGATTGGGCTCCGCATTTAGGGAAAAATATGAAAAGTAAAGAATTTATAATACATATATTAATTAATGAAACACAAAAACGAAAAACTGAAACAAACAACAGTAGCAAAATAAAAATCGATTCTTAATAAATATAAAACAAAAAATAACGATAGTAAGCTAAAGAACAGTAAATTGTCAACACTTATAAAAAATAAAAAGTAGTAAAATAAAAAGGAATTTTTTTATAATTACATGGAATTGTTTTTCATTTTACTACTGTTTTTACTTTTTGTTTTTTGTTATCCCTTAGAATAGCTTTCTATTTTACTGTTTGTTATTTTTTGTTTATAATTACATGGTATTGTTTTTCTTGATTTACCACTATTTTTATTTTTTGTTTTTTATAATTATTTACAATTTATTGTGTGTTAGCATATTACTGTTATTTTTTGTTTTATACTTCTTAAAAACCGCTTTTTATTTTGCTATTGTTGTTTATTTTAGTTTTTCCTTTTTATGTTTCTGTGATTAATATAAATGTACATATATAGATTTTCCACTTTTCATTTTGGGAAAAAATGCATGAAAAGCGTGCTTCATCCAAACTTTCTTTTATTTAAAATAATCTATCAGACTACCCTCTAGAAGTTTCCAAGTGTAAAAACAGTGAAATCCGAAGTTCTACAAAACGCAACAGTACCAAAATGTTTGGTCTGCTTTCACGCTTGGCTACCCTGTATATCAAAAATTATTTTATTTATAATTTAACTTCTTTTCAATTTCTTATAAGGAAGGAATCTATGGTCCTCCACCAGATCTCTAACCCACTCTGCACAAGTCTAGGAGTCTGCTAACTTTTAAATCCACTTTTCTCAAAACTTACTTTTGGTGAAATTCATCTTGTTTCCTGTGTACCCTTCATTTTTGTTAATAACCAATGAAACAAAACAGTTGACAAATGATAGAGTTGTTATAACTTATCTTACGATTTTACTTAAAAATAAATAAAACTGCAATTTGTTACATTGGATCAAAATAAATAATAAATCGTATAAAAACGAGTGCTTCTTGATCAAGATCATCATCTCACATAATCGTTTAAAAGTAATTGCACAGGATGTTTTCAAATTTGGTCATAATCAAACAAATTTTAGATTATATAACATGCCAAATTACGAATGTATCTACAAATAGCCAACTATAAAACAAAACTTCTAATGTTTAGCCATTCAAAGCAATCATATAAATTTATTGTATGCAACAATGAAAATATTTAATAAAAAGCATTGATTTCACAATTTATTACACCAAGTGTGATCAAGAAGAATGCAATTGGAGATTAGTGTTTTTTTCAAGCGATTTTGCTATTTTGTCGGTGTGAAGGTGACATTCTCGATCGGTCGTCAGCAAGCATCAGCTTTGCATGGCCTACCTTAAAAAGGCTGTTGTAGAAAAGTTTTTGCAAATATGTTAAAAGATAATTAATTGTACGGATGATAAACCATACTATAATAATCTTGGTATACTGGGTACTTGCCCGATATTTCGAAAACAAACTGACCTTACATTAATTTACAATAATTAGAGCATGTCTAAGATCTTTCGCAACTCCTATATTACACAGTTTTGAAGGTTCAGCACCTATTATTGCCAATCAAAGTTGAACAATCCAACACAAAAACATTGCTGTTGGAAATAGAAACAGCAGAAATAGGAATGCAAGTAGGCCTTGCAATTTATGCAAATCTCTTTAAATCAAGTAGCTCGTTTTCATCGTGTATTTAGATGTGTTAATTACCGAGAGAAGAATGAGGACATTTTCACTAGTTTCTTCGTATATCTTTTTCTGACCTACCTACTTAACATTCCAAACAAGGCATTTACGAGTAAACTAGAAATTTTCTAATTGTCAAGAAGAAACAAGAATCGCATCATCCATGATAATGACACAACGAATTTAAAGGTGTAGTTCAAGGAGGATGTGATTGCGACGATACGTGCAGAACGAAGATTTTCCTTGAAATCAAGTAGGTGGGGGTGACCATAAACACGATTATATTTTTAAAACAAACTGTTACTTTGTGTATATGAAGTCGGATTCGGAATAACGGTACTGAAATCTACTTACGCTTTCGTTCTGAGATGATCGCTTTTGTCGAGGCACACAAAATAACGTCACTGTTCGGCCTTTTGTCGCCTGTTTTAGGATACCCAAGAGGTGTACCTTTAAACCACAATGTCCTTCCTAGAACGGTACTACGGCCACGAAACACAAACTCGGCTAAGCACTCTCGCGCGATCGATTCTACGACGGAAACAGAAATCGGAACACTGAACAAAACAAAAATTTTGCGGTTTGTTGTTTGCTACATTACGGATTTGTTTGACAAAAGAAACTAACGAAAGCAAATCTCGACGAGACTACCGTAACCTCACTCGTCAGCTCGAAACTTCAACAACTAGTCGGTGTTTGGTGCTGCCTGGTAAACGCCATGTTGCCAGACTGCAAAGACAAAATTTCTCAAAATAATGATTCCAGCTTTGGACTATAAAAACACAAAAACACAAAACAGTTTGCAATCATCAATATCCATCATAGTCGTAATTCATAACTGTCTATAATTGGTAATTTGGTAATTAGCTAATATGGTAATTATCATATTTTGTGATTAGTTAAAAATATCGCAACTTATTCAACCTAACAATTAGTTAAAATTACCAATTAGCCAAAACTGCTCAATAAAATAAAATTGGCAATCAGTTAAAATGACATCTAAGTAAAATTATCAACTAATTTAGCCTGACAATTAGCTAGAATTAGTTAAAAAGTAGCTAACACTAGTCAATGAGCTAAAAACATCATTCAACTAAGACTGAGAACTAGTTAAATATGGAATTACTAATTAATTGACAGCTATAATGATCAGTTAGCAAAAACTGGTAACTGACTGACATTAGTATTTAGATAAGGTTCATATCTGAAAAATAACGAATAGTTGAACTGGTAATTAGCTAAAACTAACGGTTAGCTAAAGTTGAGCGCTAAGCTGTAATTAGTAATTACGTGATATCGACATTCAGCTAAAATCAGTAATAGCTAAATTTGAAAGCTTGCTATACTTGCCAATTGGATAAAACTGAAAATCATTTAAAATTATTGGTGATTAGCTGTCAATGGGCTACAATTCACTAGATGAAATGGTTAATTAGCTAAGGTGAACTAAAACATGCAATTAGTTAAAATAATCATTTAGCTAAAAGTTAACTAAAAGTCAGACAGTTAAAACTGACAATAAACTAAAATTGGCGGTTGGCTGAAACTGGCGATAAAGCCAAAAATTAACATTCAACTAGTACTGATGACTAGCTAAAATTAGCAAAGCTAACTGATCTACAAATGTTGAGCTGCGATTTGGGAGGGTGAGCGCAACTAAATTTTTTTTTTGAAGATTCGCAACTGATTAAAATAAATAGAAGTCGTTATAAAAGCATGAAAAAATAGCTCAGGCAAAACTCATTAATCGACGATTATTCAACTGCATCTGGCAACGCCGCAGCCGATGTTCAACGATGACGACCGAAACAGTCCTCGTAAGGAGACCACCATAAGCGTCCGTGAAGGTATTTATTATACGGTAAATAAAAGACCGGAAATGGGGCTGTATATAGTCGTGTCGCGAATTCAAACAAAGGATTCGATTGGAAGTAATGCGTATAATGTCAATTAATTATATTTGATTGATATCTTCTACGTGTTGTACTGTAAAGAATGCTTGGAAATTCTTCATTTTTCATTCCGTTCCGAGGCGAGAGAAAGATACAGCGACAACAAAAATCAGACCTTAAAAATTAAATTCAATACAAGATTCATACAGGGGGCTATTTTGAAAAATAATGTAGAATGTAGAACATTAAAAATGATTTGTTACACTGCGAATTTATAAAAGTGTTCTGCAGTGGCGGCTCGTGAGGTAGTGCCACGGTGCCATGGCACTACCTTGTCTTCTTCAAAAAGAATATTTTTTTCAATCTTCAATGTTTTACTTTATTTTTTGCTTTTTCATTTTTTTTTGGTATAAATTATATGAAGTGACAACACTGACAACGTGACAACACCGCAAGCACCCGAACCACGCGACGAGATATAAAGCATGCCTTGACCTTGACGTCATCAACTTGTGCCAATGTCGGGCCGGCCCAAATAAAAAGAGAGAAATTTTACCAGCATCGCATACGAGCGACAGAGATAACGCTACAATACACATTTTTATATGAGGTGAATAGCGAAAGACAAGTATAATTTGTGCCAGGCACATCATCAGTCGTAATTCGTTATCAAATGATATCGGCGGTGTTTTTGTTCGGTCGGTCGTTTCGTTATGATTACGTCTAGTGCTGATTTCGGTCTTTTTTTACCTGAAAAGTGAGAAATAACGTTTTTGTTTTAGTACGTCTAGTGTTAATGAACTGCTCTGTTTTGTGATCATATTTTTTACTGTTTTATTAAAACTAGTGAAAATGAATAAAATCGGGATATTAAAAAACTCATTTAGTGGTTTTTCGCTGGATCAAAAACTGCAAATTAAAGAATTAGGACGGCCAATACCCGATTTAAAAATTGAGAAACAAAGTGGTAGCGGACAAAAATCGCGCTGTCGCAAATTTAATAAAAATGTGTACGATAAAAACAGCTGGATATGTGGTTGTGAAGAAACGAATAAACTATTTTGTTTTGTATGTGTTCTATTTGGAGGTGACGAGACTTGGTCAAAAAAAGGTACAGATGATCTTATACATATATGGGATAAAATGAAGACCCACGAAAAATCTAAAGTCCATATGAATAATGTTTTTAGCTTTTCTATTCTTGGTAAATTAAATATAAGGACTCAACTCAATTCGGCTTATCGCAATGATCTAATTAAACATAATAATCAAGTGGATAAGAATCGATATGTATTGAATAAAATTATTAATTGTATAAGGTTTTGTGGAGCATTTGAGTTAGCCTTAAGGGGTCACGATGAAAAGGAAAATTCGGAAAACAGAGGCATATTTAAGGAGCTGGTGAATTTTAGCGCCGAATTAGACAACGAATTGAAAGTCCATATTCAAAGTGCCAAACTTTTCAAGGGTACCTCAAAAACAACTCAAAACGAGCTTCTTGAGTGCATGCTAGATGTTTATCATGAAGAAGTTAAGAAGGAGATTGCAAATTCTCCTTTTGTTGCAGTAATTGCCGATGAAACGACTGACGTAGCCTGTGAATTTCAGTTAGTTATTATTTTCAGATATTTGTGTAAAGGACAACCAGTTGAGAGATTTTGGAGATTTTACGTCCCCGACGGACACGATGCCAAATCAATCGCTGCATGCGTTTTAAATGTTGTAAATCCATTAATAGATCAAAATCCAAACAAATTAATAGCTCAAAGCTATGATGGTGCGTCTGTTATGAGTGGTGAATTGAATGGCGTTCAAAAGATTATTAAGGAAACTTATCCACTTGCAAATTATGTTCATTGCTATGCACACCAGTTAAATCTAATTATGACAAGCGCATGCTCTGTCAATAAGCAGGCTAGAATATTTTTCCATAATTTATCTGGATTGTGCTCTTTTTTTTCGACGTCTCCTCAAAGAACAAAAATTTTGGATGAAATAGTTAATCGCAGATTGCCAAGATCTTCCCAAACACGTTGGAATTTTCAGTCACGAGGTGTTCATACAGTTTATGAAAATAGGAAAGACCTGATTGAAGTTATGGACAATATAGAAAGTACTTCACGCGATTCTTCGTCGATTAATCAAGCCAGTGGGTACAAATTAAAGCTGCAAGATACAAATTTTGTATTTTGGCTAAGTATATTCCATAAAATAATGCCACATGTTGAAATTGTCTTTAACCAATTACAAAAAGTATGCACCGATTCTGTTAAGGTCAAAAATGATTTAGAGAATTTTGAAGCAGCAATTCAAACTATACGAGAACAAATGGATAGCATTATTGACGAGATTGAACGAGTGCAGAGAGAAACTGATGAACCGGCAAGAAAAAAAAGGCAAGTTGAAGAAGGCAGCAAAAAACGGGAAGCGTTAGAAATATGCGATGCAGTATTATCGCAAATAAGAACAAGATTTAACTTTTCTGGGCATTTAGTTGCTTCTAATTTATTTGTGTCTGAAAAGTTTTCTGTTTATAAACATCAGTTTCCTGAAGCACATTTAAATGACACATGCACACAATTTTCATTTTTAGACAAAAACAGGCTTAAAACTGAGTTACAAGTATTATATCAGAGAGAAGAATTGAGTACTACTTCTGGAGCTGTTCCACTATCCATTTTATTGAACGAGGAAGGATTAAATTGTACGTTTCAAGAAACTCTTAAGCTCTTAAGTATTTTAATCACTATACCGATGTCAACATCTGAAGCAGAACGCTCTTTTTCAATGCTGAAACGGATTAAAACTTTCCTCAGAAACACAATGAAGGAAGAAAGGCTTAGTGCTTTAGGAATGCTGTCTGCAGAAAAACATTTTGTTAGTGGCATTGAAAATTTTAATAATAAGGTAATCGAAAACTTTGCTACCAAAAAAGAAAGAAGAATGGACTTCATGTATAGAAAACTTTGAAGTTATAGGTACTTCTCCACACTTGTTTTATAATTTGGTGCGCGTGTGTAAATAGTTTTATTTTTGATTTTTTTTTGGACATATAGATTTATTGAACCTCAAGAACTTTGACCACTAACTATCAGGGGTAAGTTATAAGTTATTCTTTACAATTTTGAATCGATTCAAAATTATGGCTTCCATTCTGGCACTACCTCACTGAATTGGCACGAGTGTTCTGTCATCAACATTCCGCCGGTGTGAGGCCGGAATCCCCGTACAAACGTCGGCAACCAGTAATGCAGTATACACATTTCTGTAACTCATGGTTAGGTTATGTGGAAATAATTAGCTTTAAATTGCTTTTAAAATGTTTTTTTGTTGTTTTATATGCGACTTAACATGATTTATGAAAAAAAATCGACTTAGCCTTAGTCTTGCTCCGAGAGCTAAAGATTTGTATAATGAGTTATTTGAATTTCTTTCATATATCTTTTATAAACAGACTGTTTCTTGTAGTCTAGTATCATTCATCATCAAATATACGGTAAGGTTCAAATTTGGCTGACGTCGTAATGTGTACGAGAGAGACGTGTTGGCGTCCGTGACCTCGTCACTCGGGTAGCTAGGCGACGAGTTGCTTCCATCTCTTTCTAACACACGTATTGTACGCTTCTCGCGCTTCCTCTCGAACACATTTCGACGTCAGTGCTATTTGGTTTTCAGTGTATAGCTTAAACCTGGCTCTATTGGCTCCTCAGAATTTGTCACAAATGGAAGGGGATTCCACACTTCATCAAACTAGACAACAAAAAATTCTGTAATGAGGGTAGCTCCCGGCTGGCAGTTTGTATTTGTTGCTGCCTCAGTGTGGCTACT